GGTGTATTCGAAGAATAAGGAGGAACATGTGGAACATTTGAGGGCACTTTTACAAGTGTGAGTTCTGATTAGAAAGGGTAGCATTTCTGGGTCATTTCGTATCTAAGAACGGGGTATAAGTAGATCCAGCAAAGATTGAAGCAGTGAAAGGATGGCCTATGCCAAATACAGTGTCTGACATTAGGAGTTTCTTAGGATTAGCAGGATATTATAGGCGCTTTGTGAAGGACTTTTCTAAGATTGGTAAGCCTATGACCTCTCTAATGAAGAAAGACAAAAAGTTTGAGTGGGATGAGATGTGTGAGGAAGCGTTTCAGCTTGTAGCACCAGTGTTGACACTGCCAGATAGGGGTGCTAAAAAATACTCGACCCGATCAAAAAACCCGAAGACCCGCATACTACTCGACGAGTATTCTTGAATTTTTTTATCTTTTTGCGGGTCGGATACCCGACCCGTTAAAAAGCTCAAGTTCCGGGTCAGGTAATGGGCTGCACTTTGACTGTCATGGGTACCCGTTAAATACCCGTTTGTTTTTTATTTTTATTTTTTGGTGGTTTTCCACTTTTCTTGGAAATAGTTTAGGGTACTTATTCACTCTTCTAAGTTCTATCTAGCAGCATACTAGTTTTCTCCTCTCTCTCTCCTGTCCATTCCTCTCTAGATATGAGGATTCTCACTCCACCGCAAACCACCACTCGACCTCAGACCACACCGAAGCCCACCCATGTGCTGCTGCTACGCGCGACCACAGAGGCACAGACCATACCGGAGCCCACCTTTGTCGCTGTTGCTCCGCGCGACCACGCGACCACACACCGTACTCATCTGCTGCTCCAGCTTGACACATCGTACCCATTAGTTTTTTCATAATAAATTGCAAATTTGTTTGTTAGTTTAGTTGTTTGCAATTGTATTATACGTGGTAATATAAATCCTAAATGTTTGCTCAAATAGATGTAGGGCTTCATTATATTGCCAAATTGAATTTCTCTGTTATTAGAGTCTACGAATTTGATTGATTTTCTGGAATTTTGTTGTTATTTGAGCATGTTCTAAGTTTATCAGTATTATGGCAGATTTATATTGATTATGGATTTAATTTGAGTTAATATTAGTTAGTTTTTAAAAAAACCAATATAAAAAACCGGGTACCATGTGACGCGATCCGTTAATGGGCTGAGTGATTTTGTAACACCCCCAAAACTCGAGTCTTTTAAAACAATAAGAGTAACCTTTATAACTTTTTAAACTCAACCATCGAACCTTGAGAGTGATACTGCTACACTTATTTTCCGTAGAAAACAAATGCAATGCAAAACAAGATACCATTTAATAAACTAAGTGGTCTAAGTGGCGGCAAAATAAAATAGTTATTACATCCAAACTGTAAAACATTTTAAATAAAGTAAATAAAAGGAAAATAAATAAGTTCGGAAGTAAACTAAATTATCTTAGCTACGTGATTATTCTAACGTCTCCTCACACGTAACCGAGTACTCTCTCACCAACCTGCAAAATAAATCAGAAACGAGAAAAGAGAGAAAACTCCCAAAATCAAATAAACTGAGTAATTCCAACTCCATCCTGTAAAATAAATAATTTTAGTTCAAAAACATTTTATACATAATACAGTTACATAGACATTATAACACTAAACCAATATCAAATTGTCACATAACACTTTATTACTTTGGTTAAGAAAGGGAAAGAGAACGCCAGTAAGCCGAGACTAGTTCTTGTCACCACGTACTTAACAGAGGGTCGCACGTAACCCCAAATGGCCATAAAATAAAACAGAATGTCCCTAGTGTGCACACCCCTCACTAATACCCATGGATTAGGAGGAAAGCTAAACAGCAATATACGTTAATTTAAACCAACTAGTAGCAACCATAACTACTAGTGGGCAACCTGTTCTTCACCCTTTCGGGTTTCATTTCCCTTCTTAATTTCAATGTACATTTTAATAGATTAAATTGTCCGATCACATTACACACAAGTATTGCACAAATCAATTTAATCCCAAGTAACAATATTTCAATTTCAGTATTATTAGAACATAGTCATTTTACATGACTTACTAATTACAACTCGTTTCCCAATTGGCCTTGGAGACCATCAACTACATATAATCAATCACCCAATTCCCAAGATTTTTAATTATTTTAAAAACTCATACGATACCAATTAATCAAATTTTCAAAAATACTTATACTAGTACACAAAATGTAGAAAACTTGTATGAAATATGATTCCATAATATCATAGGGTAACACACTCATCACACATAATTACATAAGCACATAGTTGGCACACAATATTCCAAAACAATTTCCTAACGGGATTCTAAAGATGATGGACATTGAAAATTACCTTAATTGTGCGTAAAAACTCAAGGTAATTAACCTCCGACACGTTCACTTAGTAGCCTCCGTTTACAAATAAACCGATGATAAAACTAAGTTAGTTAGTAATACTATACACACACCTCCAACTTGCTTACGTATAGATTACGAAAGAAATTTTTCTTTTTTTTTTTCCTTTTGTTTTTTGTTTAAGAAAACAAAACCAAAAGAACACCCGTAACCAATATTGGTAGTCTTCCTTTCCTATTTTTATTAAAGTCAAGTTATCCTTTAAAATCATCAAATGCTTTCAAATTTCAATACAAAGTATGAAATTCCACCACCATATATGGTACTGCTACCCTTAATTCACAAATGTTAATAACTTGTTTTCCACCTCTTTTTTCTCTTTTGAAAGAAATAGGATAAGAGCATTACAGTTTGGTGAATTTTACATAATTTCAAAAGGGAAAATGTGCTAACGCAGCATCGGTGATGATGATAATAATTGACGGTATGAGTTGAAGCTATGGTGGTCTAATATTGAGATATAACAATGGAGACAAGCAACATATTCAATTTGAGTGCCAAAAGGTCGGGTTTGTCAACGGAGTTACGGGTTTAACAATGAAAGGTGTTAAAGATTACTAGTCGTAAAATTGAAGCTTAATTGACTAGTTAAAGTCATCTAAATAAAGAAGGAATTATGAATCAAATGAGCTCTCTTACCTATCAATTTGGCTTACAATTAAATTAATGGAGATGAAGGGTGGAAGAAGAAGCAGAGTGTTGCTTTGTGCCCCCCCCCCCCCCCACGGTCAAGGCAATTTATAAGGTAAAATTTGGATGAGATTGAGGTTTGAGATAGATTGATGTAACTAGCTATGATAAGATTAAAATTCAAATTTTTAGATAAAATTAGTTTTCAAATGAAATGGGATTGAATCTCACGCTGAAATCAGTTTTTTTTTTTTTGTTTTTTTAAAAAAAAAAAATACAAAATAAGAAATTTGAAAATAATTATAAAAAAAATAAATACTAGAAATTCATTTACTCAAAAATTCTAGGTATTACATATTTACTACCCGGAATCTCGGGTACCCGCTCTTCCGGGTACCCGGTTATAGACACCCCTACTGCCAGATGATAGTGGAATGTACGATATATATAGTGATGCATCCAAGAATGGTTTTGTAACACCCCAATAATTATCACTTTAAAACTTGTATTAACCTGTAATAACCTGTATAATCTGTAGTAACCTGTAATCACCTGTAAATACTTTTAATAACCTATGAGAGAATTACTAGCGTGCTACCGCCACGTGTTCAAACATTAAGGCTAGTTTCAGAAATCAGCAGCGGAAAACTAACTTAGTTTTTTTAAAAAAAGAATATAAGTTTCAAACCTAAAAGTTAAAACTCAACTTAGTCTTACAAGTTGGAACCATAACGACCCTTATTCAAAATCCAGTATAATAGGAAGTAAATGGAATTGGAACCAAAATAAAATTCAATCTATGATATAAAATAAGCTAAGTGATTAACCAAAGCTCCACTCAAATCCCATCACCCTGATGCAAATCAGTTTATGCAAAAACCTGTGATTAATCTGCTCCCCAATATTACAAGTGTAAGAATTGGATCATTACAGGGTCATTGAAGGCGAAGGCCATGACCAAGAGAAACACATAAAGCACGTCATCAGCAACGCTGAGTACATACAAGCTACGAAATATAGTAAAGAGTCTTAGCATGATACTATCAAGCATTCCATACACTCACAATATAATCATTGACTCGAACACATGATTCAATCGTTACTTATTACAAAGTTTCTCTAAATAGTATTGATCACTTCATTAATTTAATTGGATTAAGCAATAGACCGGGTTGTCCCCCTGTGCTCCATTCCGGAACATTAAATAAGAAAACCCTATGCCTCCTTTCGGAAGACATTAATAAATATCCAATGGCAGACGGGCGCAACTCCGTGGCCATAGCTAGTATAAGATCTCATCTAACTCATTATAATTTTAAAAGAATTTATAACAAGAGACTCGTAGATCAGACGACCTCTGAAAAGTGCACGGCTAATACCCCGTGAACCCCAACCCTTGTTTGTCATTACTCTAGATGTGCACAAATCTAGAGTTTTATTGCTCATCCTTCTTGCACTTTACGTGATTTACCAGTTTAAATTTGGTGATGACTCATATGCAAACAACACAACCAATCATACATCAATCATTCAAATCATTCAAGTTTCCAATTTAATTCTTAATTTATTAGTGACAAACAACATTTATTATTGAATCCTTTAACTAACTCGGTGTATAAACACCTTAAGTGCATAAGGGACCTCATATCCACAATCTTGTCTTATAAGACTTTAACTCTTCCTTTACTCATTCCATTTCAATACAGATGAATAAGTAATTAAAATGATTCATTCCCTATGTATACTTGTAGCTTTACTTTTAAGCTCTTCTTGCAAAGTATTGCATAAATAATACTCATAAGGAAAAATCAATGCAAATTTCTCATACATAAATTAAACCAATCATCACATTTATCATCAATCAACTCATTACCAAACAATTTCAACCAATCCACAAGTTCCCTAGCATGATTCTAGGTTTTTCCAAGTCCCTAAACATGCTCCTAAAATCAAGTTTTCTCGTATTCTTATACGTACCTTAATTAAATCATCTTTCCAACTAGCCACAATGCTAGAAATTACTCAACTTAAAGTCTCCTACAATACCAAATACATAAACTCAATTACTTCCTTCATTACACAAATTTCTAGCAACTTTTAAACACTTTAAACCTTCTCTAATAAGCCGAAATTTTGGTTTAAAACCTTTAAAACTCTTTCTTTAAGTGGGTGATTAAAACCACAAAATAAAAACTCATTCATGGTGTTTGTATAAAAATTCCAGCACACTTATTAAGATTTAAATCCCTCAAATAAATCTGAAAATTATTTTTAAAACATTAAACCTTCATCAAAAATCGAAAACTGTTCAAAAACCCTATTTAGAGGCTGATTTTGGCCACAAGAGGGTGGTGCTCACTACTAGGTAGTGAATTAAGATTAGAATGTTGTTTACACACGAAAAATACTATTGGTTTGTAAAAATCGGACGAGTTATAATCTCAGCGGGATTAAAACGTGATTAAAAATAATTAAGAACGGAGATCGGAATTTAATTACCGAAAATTTGTTTTTATGTTTAATTAATATTTATAAGTTCAATAGGAATGAAAGCCCTAATTTAATTGATTATTAGAACCCTAAAAATCAACACTTTAATAGTTAAAACCCTAAATTTTAATACTTTATAAAATCTGAAATTTAAAATACTTTATAATATGAAATTTATAATATTTAATCATCAAAACACAATTATAAAATATACTAATATAATTTATCAATCAAAAATCAAAACCCAAAACATATAATTACATAAACAATAATTTAAAACAAGGAGGAGGAGAGACGAACCACCGCGGTGGCTGGGCAGCCGGAGGTGGTCGGCGTCGGGTGGCTGCAAGGTGGCGTGGTGTTGGTGGCTTTCACGTAATGGAGAAGGGAAAGAGTTAGAAAAAAGAAAGAAAAAGAAAAGAAAGAAAAATAGAAAAGAAAAGAAAATAAATTACCTTTACCATTTGACTTTTGTGGGGAAAATTTTGGGGCTTTGGGGGATATTTATAGAGTATTGAGTAGGGATTGTGTTTGGGCTTAATAAATAAATGGGCTTTAGTCATGAAATATTTGACCCACAAGGGTTCAAATAAAAGAATTGGGCTTACTTAATTAAAATGGGTTGGTCCACTAAAAGTATGTAAGAATTGTTTACATACTATTATTTAAACGAGCCCAACAATAAATAAAAGTTTAGCCCAAAATAAATTATACTTTTATAAAACTCACTAATTTAAAATGCTTTAGCCCTTAAAAATATATATTATAATTAATTAAATAATTTATAAAATACATAAAAATACGGAGTATTACAGGTTTGGGGTGTGTGCTTATGCAAAATGGAAAGGTAATTGCATATGCATCGAGGAAATTGAAACCTCACGAGGTGAACTACCCTACTCATGACCTGGAATTAGCTGAAATCATTTTTGCACTACAGATTTGGAGGCATTACTTGTATGGGGTGAAGTGTAGGATCTATATAGGCCAAAAAAGTTTACAGTACATATTCACCAAAAGAGATCTAAACTCACGCCAAAGAGATGATTAGAATTTGCAACGGACTACGACTTAGACATAAAGTATCATAAAGGGAAGGAAAATGTAGTCGCAGACGCTCTAAGTCGTAAGACCAACCATGGACTGAACACTTTGGTAGTGGCTGATGAATTATGTAGGGAGATGAGCAAAATAAACTTAGAATTGAAGTGGTAGAATGGGGAGTGCTAGCAGGAATACTTGCGAATCTAAGCATTCAACCAACAATATTTGATGAGATAAGAGAAAATCAGGCAGGTGATATAAAGTTGGATAGGATTCGTGAGAAAATAAAACAAGGACAAGCTATAGATTTCAAAATTCATTAAGATGGGAGTTTGAGGTATAAGGGTAGATGGTGTGTGCCATAAAAATGTGAGGAACTAAAGAAGAAATTGATGGAAGAGGGGCACAATACACCATATTTAGTATACCCTGGAGGGGACAAGTTATACAAGGACTTGAAGAAAATGTATTGGTGGCCCAGGATGAAGAATGAAGTGGCAGAATTTGTAGCTAAATGTCTAACTTGTCAAAAAGTGAAAATTGAACACAAGAGACCACAAGTAACCGTGCAATCATTAGAGGTCCCTGGATGGAAGTGGGATTGCATTTTGATGGACATTGTGACTTGCCTCCCAAAGTCAAAGAGTGGAAATGATACCATTTGGGTCCTTGTGGATAGACTTACCAAATCCGCGGTGTTCATACCAATGAAGGAGACTTGGAAGATGGAGCAACTTGCAAAAGCTTACATCAACAATGTTGTGAGGTTACATGAAGTTTCAAAAGATATTGTGTCTGACAGAGATTCTAGGTTTCTTTCAAAGTTCTGGAAGAGTGTTCAGGAAACTTTGGTACAACACTAAAGATGAGTACAACATTTCACCCTGTCACAGATGGACAAACTGAGAGAACTATTCAGATCGTGGAAGATATGCCGAGAACTTGTGTTATAGACTGAGTTGTTTAAGGTATATTGAGTTACGGGGACGTAACTCGTTTTCTTTAAGGGGGGATAGAATGCGGTAGAATTTCGCGTTTTTTCCTTGAATTTTCAGTAATTTCAGTGCTTTTTGCACATTTTTAACGGTTAATTCGAGTATTTTTGGTTTCAAGAAGACATTAAAGGTAAATGTATGTCAAAAGAGTACATCAATATTACACAAAGTGAGGAAAAAGGTTTTCAAAAGTTGGTATTCTTTCACTCATTGAGTATGGATTTTGTTTTTCGTTTTAAGGGGAGTAGACTGTAATACCCTGTATTCTTATACGTATATTAATTTAAATTATTATTATATGACGTATTTAAATAATTTGAAATGAATTATTTTTGGTATTTTAATAATTTAAAAGGTTTATTTTAAACAAAAACCCATTTGTATTTATTTATTTGGTTTTGAAAATATTTTATTTTATTATTTAGAAACTTTGGGGTATATTTAATTTATAAAAGAATTTTAAAGTCAATGGAATTTTAAAGAAAGTCAAAAGGATTTTTATTCAAGTCAAAATACCAATTTGAATGGGAATGGGAATCATTAAGGATAAAAAGGGAAATTAAGTTAGGAGTGTTTTGAGAAGGAGTATAAATACCCATCTTATGAGCAAATTTAGACTTTTCCCAAGGTGAAAAATACCCAAAGGTAAACTCTCTCTCTCCTCTTATTTTCTCTTCCTCTTAATTTTTTTTCCCTCCCCTCTCTTACAACTCACGACACATACACACACACCCCACTACCGCAAGTGGCCAGCTGCCACCACCACCACCGGCCGACCACCACCATCACTTGCCAACAACAGCAGCCGGTGGGAGGCGGCGGCAGCCGTCCTCCCTCCCTTTCTTGTGTGCGTGCGTGGGTTCGAACAAAGAACAAAAAAATTCTTACTTCAATTTTTAATTAGCTTTGATAAATTATTATTTTAAGTCTGTGTGATAATTTTATGAGGTTTTTGATGATGTTTAACTTATATAGTTTTCAGATTTGGTTTTTGTGTGAAAAAGCCCCAAATTGATAAACCCTAGGTTTCTAAATTAATGTTTATTGAAGGAATTTAATGGTGGTTGATTAAAACTATTGAAATTAATATTTTTAAACTAAATTACATCAAGTTTAAGAGTTTTCATATTGCTGGAATTTTTATGTAAAGGCTTTAATAAAGTTTTCTTGACGGGATTTTAATTATCCATTAATTGGGAATAAAAGTAGATGGTTTTAATTAATTTTCAGCATGTTTTAGAAGGTTTAAAAATATTTTAAAGAGTGTATATATCGCTGAAAATTTAATATGAATAATTATTAATGTCTCTTTGTAATTTTGGGTTGTAGGATACTTCCAAGTGAGTGATTTCGTGTAGTCGTGGCGATTTTGAGATCATATTCGAGGTACGTTCGCGTACTTGGTATTTATTAAAGCGTGTAGAAACATGCTAGGCTTTGTATAATTAGTTTCAAGTTAGTATCATGTTAGGAATTGATTTGATTTGGTGAATTGGATTGGATTGATTGATTTGCAAAAGGTTTTGGTGAAATATTTGTGAAGCATGATTGGTTGAAATAATTTATTTATTGGAATTGGTGATTATGGAATATTGTTATTGAACCATACTTCTATTATTGGCATGATTGAGAGCATGTTTAATTAAACTAATTGTTTGATTTAGTTGAGAATATAAAAAGGGAGTTTTATTATGGTTCATATAATATTTTATTGATGCTATAAACATGGGAAAGGAGCTATTTAAGTGTCTATGTACACGAGGATTAATTTATATTTTGGCGCTTAAGTGCACTTAAGGTGTTCTAAACACCGAGGTATAGGATTTGTAGTGCATTATGCGATTAAGGTGTTATTTAACGCCGAGGTAGTTTAAAAAGGATTCAACATTTAATTATTTGTGATCACTAATTATTCAAGAGTTAAATTGAAATGTTTGATTACTTGAATGAATTGTATGGATTGAATGTGTTGTGGATTAAGAATCATCACCAAGTCTAAAATATGTAAGCAATGTAAAGTGAAAGAGATTATGCACCAAAACTCTTGGAACGTATATACCTCGAGTATGAACATATGAGGGGAGTTATATGACTTTATATTTGATTATAACTTCTACTGGGAGTACAGGACGTTGTATTTTCCTTTTATTTATGTGCAGGAATTCCGCCACTTACGAGTGATTCTTTTATACTGGCACGATTAGCTCCCATGTTAGTACCCCATTATTTTGGGGCAGGTTAGAGGGGAAGCTCATTCGATGCGTAATAAAATTAAATAAGCAATATAAATGTCTATTGAATCAAATGTGTGTTGTATGCTTGTAAACAGGTGCAACAAGGTAAGTTGTGTGATGCTAGGTTATATGCATGTTAGTATGAATAATTTACGCTTATGCACTCAGTATTGCTGATTGTGCGTTTGTATGTTTGTTTGTCCTTGTTTTTATCTTGTCCCTACGACGGTCCATTTCTAATGGCAAGTAGTAGGGACAAAGTAGAGAGAAGCTTTTCAGGTGATGAAGCATATTCGTGATGGGCATGAGTGAAGAGCAAATCTTATTTAATTCCTTTAAGGATATGATATGTTTATTTGTTTTGATTATAATATATATTTTCTTGTGAGACTAACATAATGGTTTTAAGTATTTGTAGGGTTTTAAAAAGGGCCTACAATGGTTCCAAGTTGTAGGTTAACTTTGTTAGACTTTGGTTTGACTTTACTTTCGTTTGGTTAACTTTTGAAGTTAGTTTTATTTTAAATGGTTTTTAAAACAAGTCTTCCGCTGCATGTCTTTGATATTGCCTTAGCCGTTATCACGGTGGTGGTAATTCCTTAGAATTTCCTATTTCGTATTTTAAAAAGGGCAAAATAGGTATTTTAAAGGAAATGAATTTGTAGGGTGTTGCAATTGCAATTCCTAAATAATTTAATTTATTATTTACTTTAATTTATTTTACTTTCTTAAAGTTTACTAACATGTGTATTATTTAATAGCAAGAAAGTCGAGGCATCAAAGTAAGTAATTTAATTACTTTTTGATAGAAATCATGTATATGATAACACTTTTATTTTGTAATTAGTAACATGCTAGGATTGTTATTAATCTGTCTAGTATCATGCCTAGGATCTTACTACTAACGATGTTTTTATGATGATGATTATGATGTTAATTATATGTTGCTTGATTATCCATGGTTTATTGTTATTGCTTGATTAAACACTTTTTTGTAAGTTTAAAGGGAATTTGTAATTGAAGTCACGCCTAATGAGATAATTAAATATAATTGAATTTAGGCTTAATATGATTTTAATTCAAGTGATCACAAATATTAGATTTAATTTTGCATTAATGATCAACCAACATAGATTAAACAGGTTTAGGATTAATATTATGTATGTATGTTGATCGAAAAGCGCACATGAATATCAATAAGAATCAAGTAGAGGCCTATTTAGGGTGGGTTTGATCTCTTTGAAGATTGAATTCATACCATCATCCCCTAACATCCAGTCATGGTTCCAGACCACTATGGAGTTAGCAATCTATGTGATTGTGAATGGGGTGTAACCTTCACAATCATGA